CCAGTCATCACCCGAAGACGATTGTAGATACCAACAATCGAAACGTCGTGAACTAACGTGACTTGGAATCTCTACACTTTTTTATTATTTTCTTTTTTCATTCCTTTAATTTTTATTTATTCAATTATTATATTTTTACTTGTAGGTTATTTCACTATCATTTCATTTCAGGTTCATTGTTTGCTTAATATAATTGTTATCTTCAGCTATTCTTTTTTTAATAATTCCTTTTTACTTGTTTCAGGGATTTCAAATCATTAAATATAGTAGACAATGGAAGTCCGAACTAGTGAAATTCATCACGAAACATTGTCAATCACCTTCAAATAAGAAAACTGTTGTTCCACAGTTTCTCACCTTTTCTTGAGATCCAGAACTTTGGCAATCTCCACTACTGCGGCGCCTATTTCCACATCAGTTTTTGAGGAATCTGTGTACATTTCTTTGCACCCCTTATACTTGATGAATGAGCAGTTGTCTAAAGTTCTGGATAATGACGTCGGTATTTGCAGCATATTTTTCAAGCTGGGACAGTTGATAGTTGAATATGGGTAGGTTTATAAGCCAAAGTGGTGGAGTACTAATATCATATGATATTGATATTATTGAAGACAAGTTAACGATAAGAAGATATGAGTTGAGGGTACTTTTATATGATTCTAGTCGGACAGAAAAATCTAGGAATGAAATAGATTCTGAAATTCATGTCATGTTTCATTGATTTAAAAAAATATATATTCAGATTGGTAATATTCTTTAGCTCTACTGAAATCGGAATGATTTAAGCTTATATAGTAGAAGCTTTTTTTGCTACTAGCTTTATAGTCATTTACTTTTTCCTTGTATCATAGATTTGGTCATAGATATATATTTTTCATTTTCATTTTACTGCGGATGGAATGGAATGGGAATGAAATCTATAAACGGAATTGGAAGGCCGGAAATATAAAATAGGAAATATATTTTCAATGTGAAGATGTCAATAAAATGTCACTGACATTGATCTCTGTAAATTCAATGAACTTTTTGTAATGTGTGCGGTTCCGTGAGAAATCAGTTAAATTGCTAACAACAGAGTGACCGACGAATCAGTGAAGATTCCAAGGTTATGAGAATAGTTTACAACAATTTCAGACAAAAATTACATAAGAATAATTCAGATGAAAAATAACAATTTGAACAATATGTAGAATAGGCGTGCTTTTAAGATATAATGGCTGGAAGTCTTGCCCCAAGAAATTTCTGGGTCAATCTAGGAAATTCAGGAGCCGTGTAAAACATTGTAGAATGTTGTGTAATAGTTTTGAACATTCTGGAACATACCGGTATATCACAAATCATTGAGAAATATTGCACAATACTCTTGAATGTTCTGGAAAACTGCGCCTCTTATGTATGGATGGGACTACCCATGTTTAATTTGTTGGTGAGAGGTTTTGTGAGTTAGTGTTTTGCGTGTTCGGGTATTTTCTTCTATAAAAAAGAGAATGAAAACATTCCGTATTGAAAATGAAGTTGATGATAATATCTAATAAACGAAACGTCGCATTGCAAATTGGTTCATATCAGAGTATAACAAAAAACAATAATGAAACAGTATTGAAAGTTTCTCTGCCTTTTTTATATCATTCGAAATGGAGGCGGCAGAGTCAAAAAACCGAAATTCAATAATTCAAATTTTTTGAAATATTTCAAAATCAACCACTGATATTAAGTGATCATTGGGTCCAAAGATCATGCGCCCTGAGCAAATGCATTGAACCAAGAATGACAGCCTTCTGTATCTGTCTGGCTAAGATTTCTGCCCTAGTGCGGCAGGCCGGTATGATTTTAAGATTCGAGAGTAGAGAGGGCAAAATTCCACCAAGTACTCCAATAATCAGAACAACCATCTTGACAGAGTGATCTGGATAGAGTCTAAGGAGTTTGAAGAGAAAATCTCGATATATTATTCGTTTTTCCTCCTCTTTTCTGACGATATTCATCTCGCCAGGAGCTGAAAACTCCACGACTAATATCATCTTGCTCTGGTGATCGAGAAGGACTACATCAAGCTTATTAACTTGTATGAGCCTAAGGGTGGAGAACGAATAGTTCCAATAAATTTGGCACTTCTCGTTCTCCACAACGGATTCAATATCCCCCTGACCCCTGAGCGTTGGGCAACACCAGTGTCTCGTCAATATCGTAGGAGTGTCGTAGATGGTAATATATCATTATTATCAGTATTATTATTCGCATCGATTTCTTCACTTGAGGTCCCCTTCGTCAATGAATTCTGATATTCTTCACATATGAATCATTGAAGTTTTCGTTTTGGTTGGTTTCCACGCTTTGTCGTGGTCTTCCAGGGTTACAATCTCTCAACGTTTCGACTGCAACTACGGCAGTAATCTTCAGTGGCGTGGTAGAAGTACTCTTCTTGACGTGTCTCGACAAAACCCGGAAACTAACCAAAACATCGACACCAGCCGTGAAAGCCTATATTGAAGTTTTCAGTTTTGTTTTTCGACAGACTTTTCCAAACTCTCCTCATATTTACGACTCACAGTATGTCTTAAATCATCATTTCACTTCAATCATTTAAGACGTAAGCATGACTGTTATTGGAGTTGTCGAAAACCACTCATTTCAATAATGAAATATCACAACAACTACAACAAGTACTGTTATTAACTCTTATTTCATTAATTTAATAAACAATCATTATCTTATCTGATTTCCACAACACAAATTCACTTGTCTCATGCTTGGTTGACTTCGAAGAATGATCCTTGTTCATTCAATTGAAAATTAGGAAATCGCCAAAAACATATATAGAAACAGAAGGTTGAAATTTGGTTGGCAGTAATGATATTTTTTCATTCATTCGAATCTAAAATTCAAATTTTTATATTAATCTCGAGTTGAGCAGCTAAAAACTGTAAATGCTACACAAAAAAAACCTTCAACTTAATATATCAGACAAAAAGAAATGAATTTCCCTTACTAGCCACTAGCAGAGTTACACAAGGATCTAGTCTTGGCCCCCTCATTGTTTTTAATATTTATTAACGATCTGAGCCACTTTTCAAACTTCAATTCATCAGTGTTTGCTGATGATTTGAAACTTCATACATCTACAAACAGTTCAGATGACTGCACCATTTTACAAAAGCAGATTGATTTGTTACATGATTGATGTTTTGAAAACCGCATCCATTTCAATATTCCCAAATGCAAAATTGTGACATCCGGCCTAAAATTCGATACACTGCAATTTTCTTACCACAATAATAACATTACATTGGAAAGAACAGATAATCCGGGATTTAATAATGATAATAATGAATCGACTTTATTGATAATACAAAAAAAACAATACAAAGATATATTTGAAAATGAAAATAGGTTACAGGAGATTGTAGTACTCCTTAACGAAGTCTAGCTCAAAGCTNCCTTACACCGCTTCAAGAGCGGTGCCTGTGCGAAACTATCAATTCACGTTGGATTTGAATAGCTGGAGATGGAATTAGTTTGGAAAAACGTTTTCAGAAAGTTTACTCCACATTAAAGCAGCTTTCCAAATGAAAGAAAATCATACTTTTTTATGCAGAAGGTGACAAACGAACTTGATGTTGAAGTCACTAAACTAAAGCTTATGTGAAATTGAAAGTGAATTTCCTGAGACTCTATAGTCAAAGAATATAGGAACGGTCTCAACCTTTTTTTATGTTTTTGATTCAACTTATGTTTTCTTGTTCTAACGTATATCAAGCGATATATTTTCCATTAATCATATATACTTCGATCTGTGAATGAAAAACTGTTGGGCTGTGAACGCTATTAGTACTGTTATTGTTATCAAGTTACTGGAGAAGAGGACAGTTCTGAGAAACTACCTTAGCAAAATCAATATAAATATTCCCGTATGCAAAGTTCTTCCGCTATACTGGTGTTTTCAGAATAAATATTCTCGACTCTGGTAAACATCCACCATATCCCGGTTCCCACATCACGGAATCTCATCATATCTCGCAGATCGTTGATCAGAATCCTTCGAGAACATAGGCGTATCCTGGAAAAATATTTCTTTCAAAATTCTCTTGGAACTATTAATTTATCGATTCATTTATTTACTATGGAAAAGGGTGACCCCCTTTTTAAGCAGAATACATGGAAGTCTCTACGACAGTCGCTAGTCGCTAAGTCGCAATGTGAATCGCTACTTTCGCACAGTAATAGCGCGTCAGATTAATA